GGAAACTCTTCTCCAGGCAGATAGACTTTGTGTTCTTTTTGGATTTAAGGATTGGCAATGAATTCCAAGTGAGCAAGAAGCCGGTCACTGAATGTTCTCAGCAATAAGCATAGTTGTCCCTGTGGGGAGAAAGACCCTGGCAGTCCTGGGGCTTCTCAGTGGTGTGGGGGCTCCAGTGGCATCCATGCCTGCCTTTTCTGTCTAGGGGATGTGATGGTGGTCCCTGCCCTCAGTCTCCAGATGATCCCCAGCCACTTCGCTGAAGCCAGTGTCCTGAGGTCTCTGTGCTGCCGCAATGCTGCTCTGAGTCTCTGGCATAGGCACATGGGGACCGAGGTGGCAGCCCTCTGCCTGTGCTCCCTGAGCAGGGGCACTTGCTAACTGTGCATGTCATGGTTGGCTTCTGATCACCAACTGTAGCTTAAAAGGTACGGTTTGCCACGCTCTGTAGAAGGCTTTATGTAACACCTTGAGTTGCAGGTGCGTTTCAGGAAAGGAAAAGAAGAGTACATTTTTTGGGGGGAGGAGGAGTACCAGATTTCCAATTAGATCAATTCACCAAGAAGCAGTTTTTTGGTTTACTTGAGAGTGTTGTCTGTTGATCTAATGAGAAGGACATAACACAAAGACCATCATCTTACAAGTCTGCTCATTTCCTTCATGACTTAAAAAAAATCTTTATTTATTAGAAAAACAGTATTACAGCAAATATATTAGTATAATTTAAAAAGTTATCTTACTACCTCTAGAACAACTCATTTCATTTCAGTGAATCTCTTCCCAGTCTTTGTCCATATCAATAGGGGTCCCCAACCCGTGAACCACAGACTGGTACCTGTCTGTAGCCTATTAGGAACCGGGCCGCACAGCAGGAAGTGAACGGTGGGAGAGTGAACATTACCATCTGAGCTCTGTCTCCTGTCAGATCAGCGGCAGCGGCAGGTCCTCTTAGGAATGGAACCCTATTGTGAACTGTGCTTGCGAGGGATCTAAGTTGTGCTCTTCTTATGAGAATCTAATTAACCCCTGCTGATCTGAGGTGGAACAGTTTCATCCCAAAAGCACCCCCATCCTAACCGCTGGTTCATGGAAAAATTGTCTTCTACAAAACCCATCCTTGGTGCCAAAAAGGTTGGGGACTGCTGTGTATCAATTCCCATTTAATACTCTTGTAATTAAAGAACAGGAATCAAGCATTGTCCATCTTGCTGCAGACCGCTGTTTGTGATTCCAGTGTTCAGTGGCTTTTCAGCATCCCATCAGGCAGAAAACCACGTTTTCACTATTCTCCTCAGGCTGGACAGTTAGGGTGTTCTTTATAGTCCCTTCTCCATCCAGGTTATGTGGCCTGAAGCAGCCAGCTCTTGGCAACATTGTGATGACACAGGGTGACCATGAAAATCTTTTGTGCCATCTGCACTGCATCTTGTAGCAAACTAGTTAAGTGGCTTATGGAGCTCAAAGAGGTATAGATTCTTTATTTACAAAAAGTCAAGTATTTCCAAAATGTTCTCTGCTGATAAGTAACTGCCAGTTATAGGCCCCTAGAAGATATTAGAAAAAAAAAATCAACACACTTTATTATCCATCATGGCAAAAGTAATGCTTGAACAAAGGATGAAAGAGTAACTGCTTTCTAAAAAAGTTGTACTATGGAGAGAACATTTTGAAAACAGAAGTTTTTAATTGTTTCCATTGTTACGTGATTTTTGTTGCCAAAAATGATGTGTCACCTATTAAAATCTCAAATATCTTCACCCTTAACCTGGGAATAGTGCTTTTCTAATCTGTTTTAAAATCCTTTAAATGAAAATTTCAGTGGATTTTGAGCGGGGTTGTTAAAAATATGATAATGCAATAATTAACCTTCTGATTAGTTGCAGGAGCTATTATTTGATATTAGGGGTAATGGAGCTTTACTAGCAAAATGTTCACAAAGTCTTTTGCATCAGTGGTGGATAGAAGTGGAAAATGTCCAGGCAGCCCAGCCTCATGAAGTCTCTTGGTGCCGCAGGCACCTGGCATGCACCTTTCCCCGCCGCCAGGATGCCCAAGAGGAGATTGGTGTGGTTGTCAGCTAAACCTGCTCCTGCAAAAGTGGAAGTGCAGCCGGAAAATGGCAGCAGCAAAGGATACATCTTCAGACTAAAACATGCAAACAAAAGGGAAGAGGGGAGCAAAGGGAAAACAGGCCGAAGTGGCTAACCCAGAAACTAAAGAACAGTTACCTGCAGAAAACGGGGAAATGAAAACTGAGGAAAGTCCAGCCTCTGATGCAGCAGGAGAGAAAGAAACCAAGTCTGATGAACCCCATATACCATGTCTTAGCAGTGGTCCCGGTCTCCTTTCTTATACAATCCAGAGGAATATTTTATCAACTATTTTGTAAATGCAAGTTTTTTAGTACCTCTGGAAATATTTTTAAGAAGGAGGGAATCCCACCTCATCCCATTTTTTAAGTGTAAAGGCTTTTTTTTTTTTTTTAAGAGGTGAAATCATTTTCTGGTTATTTTTTGGTACAACCAGAAAATAGTGTGGGATATTGAATTATGGGAGGCTTTGATTGTCTCGGGTGTCAGCTTAACATTCCATAGATGGGGGGTTAGTTTTTATATCCTATGATACAAAGCATATGAAATGACGATATGGAATCAGTCCTGCATTTAATGTCTTCGACATTTTAAAATTACTTCTATTCTCATGTTGTTTTTTGTAGAATTGTTCCCTAAGGAAAGCCATGCCTTGATCGTGGCTCTCCCTGTCAGAGTTGTGTGCACTCTGGAACATCTTTGGATGTGGTTGTCCTGTTTTCCAAAACACTTTGTTACCGTGCTATGAAAGATTAAATGTTTGAATATGTAGTGTACCTGCTGTTCAGTTGGGAATTGTGAGGCGTGTGTTACAGCTTATCAACATGTGAAGATACAGGTACTTGATGGCCTCTTAATGAAAATTTCCTTCCAAATTTTAAGTGAGAAAGTCACTGGAATAACTTTAAAAAAGAATTACAATACATGGCATTTTAGATTTTCGTTACATATGTTAAGAATTGTGTACAAATTGAAATGTCTGCACTGATCCTCAACCAACAAAATCTCAATTATGAAAGAAAAAAAAAAAAGAAGTGGAAAATGTCCTCCATGTGGCCAATGGTGAACCTCTCCCATCAAGATCCATGCATCTGTGTGTGAAAGAAACTTTGTCGGCTTTGATAGAGTTCAGTGGATCAACCAACCTACCTGCAACCAGACTACATTCAAATAACTGAATTATAAACAGTTCCCTACATTAAGAAAAATGGAAGCATATTCAATTCTGTTGCTCTCACTAGAAAGAGTATTACATAACTCATGATTTCAGAGAGGTTCGTTGATCCTCTTAATAAGAGTATATTAAAATATATTTTAAAATATTGACTTATCCTTGTATCATCCTTTAAAGTGTTCTATTTTTGGCATTTTTAAATGTTCATAATATGTTGGTGCAGAAGCACGTGATACAACTTAAATGTCTATGTACTGGTGATATGTGCCTTACGTTTTTCATGGATGGGGTGTACTGTCAAACAATAATAGCTTGGAGACCATGAATCTAGGCAGATTGGGTCTGTTGAAAGCCTCCCACTGTGACTGTCGTGAATACTGATTGATTACTTTCATTTCCACACCTGGTGAGCTGGTAGAGAGCCCTTCACTAATGTGTGGGGTCGTAGAACACAAAGCAGGGCAACCTTTCGTGCTTTCTGAATTGAATGAGCAAGTGCTGCTCCTTGGGTTCCTGCGAGTGGAAGTGATGCTTGAGACCTCAGTGTCTTTATGGTTTTCTTCACCACCAGTTTCCCGTGTCCCTAAGTATCCCACTGCTCAGTCCAATGGGGGAGTTTCTGTGGGTACAAGCCGGTCAAGGTTCTTCCTCCTGCACTGTGGGAGTCCTTGTGGCACCTCTGAGGGAAGCCTCCTCTACGTTTCTGGCTGGGTGGCGTGCGGCAGGTGCTGTGCCTGGTGTATAAGCCCTGCCTGCGGGGGGCGTGCACAGGGCCAGCACTCAGAGACTCCCATGGCGAGAACATCCCCCAAGGCTGGTCCACCTTCTTGATGCAGTTTCAGATGGATGAGGTGTGGACAGACAAGAATGACAGCCAGTGCCCTGGGACACGGGAGCTGTACTGGGTAGTGGAAGGAGGACTAGCTTTAAGTTGCTCCAAATGATTGATGTTTTTGAAGTTTATATAAGATCATAGTGATAAAAAAGACATTTTTCACATCGTATGTGTGTATATATATGTATACATACACACACACACACTTACCATAATGCACATAAATGCTTGACAATAGTTTATGATGTATTTATAACGGACAAGGATTGCCTTGTGTCCTGTAGAGCCAGTGAGAACCCTGATGGTCCACACCACTCTGTCCAATCTGTTCTTGGGCCACCACGATGGCCACTCTCATTTACTGCCCAGTGTCTCAGGCCACCCCACCTGCCATGCTCCACAGCAAACCCTTTATCCATTATTATAAGGTGGCTGATCCTGAAAGGTATCACCTTGGAGCAATCCTGTTTTTGGTTTTTAAACTCTTACATAAATAATCTACTGTATTAACTGTGCAATCTTGGAAATGTTACATGACCTCCCTGGGCCTTGTGTTTGGCTATAAGGTGGATATAGGGTCGTTGTGTGGTTTATATGAGCTAATGCATGTCATGCTTACAGCACATGTGAAAGGTGGCACACATCGACCCACCTGTCTAAGCTCAGCCCAGGAGGAGGGGATGTTCAGCTAGTCAAGGGTGGGCTGGCCAGAGAATCAGAGAATAAGGGCAAATCTTGCTGCCACCACTGTCATATTGCCAGAAAGTTTCCATTAGGCCTCACTGGGCCCAGGGGAGCTGTGTTTGCTATGGACCCCCGTACCAGATGGCATCTTAGTTTTAAGATACTTGTTTCATGACCTAAGTACCTTCTAATCCTCTCTTCTCTTTTTGTGTTGTAGGAACTCAGCTATTTAGTGGTCGAAGTGACTTTAGAATCACTACCTTGAAATTCCATCCGAAAGACCACAACATTTTTTTATGTGGAGGCTTCAGCTCTGAAATGAAAGCTTGGGATATAAGGACTAGCAAGGTAACAGCCATTTTCCTAACTTGGCCTTTCCACAGGAGAGCTTGCTTCAACAATTTGAATAACTGGGGGCAGGTCAGCATCTATATATAGGACCCTTGAGGTGGAATAATTACCACTTAATATTTAATCAGTGCTAAGCATAATTTTTAGATGTTTTGAAAGAACGTTGTTGAGCTGTCAGGCTTAAAATATCATAGGTGTAATTTTATGCAGCATATTACTAAAAATATTTGTTGAGTACCTACTGTGCACAAATGCTTCCAGATGATATAAAATGAATCTGCTGGGCTACTCAAGGGAATAATGTGTGGATACAGCTGCTGGGTTACACAAGGGAGTAATGTGTGGATACAAATAACTCTGGTACAGAGAATCGGGGTGTGTGTGTATGCACCTGTATACATGCATACATGCTTGGGAGAGAGAGGAAGGGAGGGGGTGAGTGCTTTTAGCTTGCTGTGGGAAGGCTTCTCAGAGGAGTCACTGTTCCTGGGGTTGAAAGGCTGGTTGTGATTTCCATCCCCATCCTTTACTGCAACCTGCTGCGCCTTTTACCAGCACCACTTACTACATGGCAGCTCCATCCTAGTTGTTCAGGCCAAAAACATCAGAATCAGCCCTGTCTCTGTTCTTCACATCATATCCCTATACCCAAACCATTAGCAAATTCTCTAAAACTTGGACACTTTTCCCCACGTCGGCTGTTGTAGCTCTGCTCTTGTCTCTCACTGGGATGGTTGCAGGAGTTTCCCATCTGATCTCTCACTTTCCCCCTTGCCCCTTGCAGGCTGTTCTCAACTCAGCAGCTAGATTGGTCTGTTACAGTGTGACTCAGACATGTCACTCCTCTTGTTGGAACCCTCCAGGCTCTGATCTTACAGTAAAAGAAAGCCAACGTCTCTGATGGTCCACAAGGCCTAAATGATCCTCTCTGGCCTGGGGGCGGGCCAGCATTTCTCATCAGTGCCAGTCCCACTAGGCTCCTTGCCTTCCCTGAACATACCAGCACATTCCTGCCTCAGGGCCTTTGCAATTGCTGCTCCCTCTGCCTGGAAGGCTCTTCTGCCTGTTTCCTTCGCAGAGGCTTGCTGCCCCCTGTCACGGGGCTCTGATCACATGTTACCTCTCCAGTGAGGTACCCCCTGACTGCAACTCACTAGCATTCATTAGTCCCCTATGCTATCTCATTTTTCTCCATTGCATTTACTGTCATCTGACTTATTATGGATTTTATGTGTTCATTTGTTTGCCTGTTTCCCTCCTCTAGAATGTAAGCTCTTTGAGGGCAGGGATTTTTGTTTGCTGCTGACATCGAGCTTCTAGAACAGTGCCTGGCACATAGTAGGCACTGTGTGAATCATGATTAACTGAATGAGTGAATGATGGAGGAAGGCAGTCATGCAGAGAGTATAGATATAGGAAGTGGGAACACAGGATGTCTGTGGGGACTTGGCTGAGCATGGGCCCCACACAGCAAGGTGACCTGGGCAGAGAGTCTTTCAGTGCTGTGTGTCTTGGTCTTAACAGTGGGGAGCCATGGGAGGTTTGTGAACATCTGCCTTGGCCCTAGACAGGTGCAGCGTCCAAGCAGGTCTGTCCTGAGTCGAGGCTGTCCATGTCTTCTGGAGGGAGGAGGGTGACACAGAGCCCCCAAGGCCTAGATTCCAGGTTTGCCTTCCTGCTTCAGACTGGCTGGCACAGGAAGACCCTTTTCTGACGGGCAGAAGGGGGTGCTGTTTTTTTGAGCCTAAATGCAGAGACTTTTTTTTTTGACAAAGAATGGGAAGTTTTGTCCCTACATGAGATCTTGCTTAAAGTACTCACAAGTGGGAGCATAGATAAATGTAGTCTTTAAAAAAAAAATCGTACATTTTTCTTTTACAAAGGAACTTTCTTATACAAATATTTGGGAAAGAGAGGAAATTACCCATAAAGAAGTGGACACAGTGGCATTAAAAAAAAAAACTTGCCAAAACACTTTATATTTAGGTTATAAATACATGACAAGTGAAAGAAAACATTTGAACGTGCCTTGTGAACTGGAAACTCTTAGTCATACCATTTGAAGTGGGACCTCCTAAGCACCCAGCCCCTCCTGACAACCACATCCCTTATGGGTGCACTCACTGTTTTTAGCCTCAAAGACCAAACACGTAAGAAATTGCTCACCAAGGACGCCATCTGATTTAAGCGTTTGTTAAAAATACTGGATTTTTTCCTAGGGCAAATGCCAGCTGACGAGCTCTGAAAATGCTTGGGGAGAAGCAATTAGAAGCAGATGTTGCTGTGACTGGTGTTGGCATGTTTGCGAGTCTCTCCCAAGATAGTAATGTGGCTAAGGGATCTGTGCAGTATTTGTTTTTACTTCCTTTCTACCAACAATCCTCCCCCGCTGGGTCACCGGGCTCGTTCCATTTGCATCAGTTGGGCTCAGGGGACAACACTCTTTCCGGCTTTGACAGGTGTTGCCCATGTGTCTCAAATGGACTCGGCAGGAGGACCAGGGAGGAGGCACAGCCCCTGCCCTCCAGGGGCTCCCATCTGCTGCTACTCACTTCTCATCCCTGTGGGCTCCTGTGGCGCTGGTGGCGCTGTCCCGGGTGCTGAACTCTCCGGCTCAGCCTGGGTGTGTGTGTGAACATCCAGAAGCGAGCAGCTTGGCTTTTTCCACCTGCCTTCAGGGTCCGCGGTGGTAACCGCAGGTGGAAGTAGGAGGGACAAAGACCTTAGCTTAAACCAAGACAAACCTTCCCTTTTAAATACAGTGGGGAGGGAATGTTTTGTTGTAAAAGTAATACGTAATCATATGACATTGGAAAATTCAGGTAAAGAGAGGAGGGGTAGTCCAAACAGCCAAAGTTAAACATTAGCGACAATTTGATAGTCTTCTTTCTGGGTTTTTTCCTCTTGTGTGTTTTTTTAAAATATAAAAACACTATTTGGTCTTATTTTTATACACAATTTTGTATTTTGCTTTTCATGTAGCATTAGAAGGATATTCTCTATTAGTGCAGACTCTTGTAAGGTTTCAGGCATATTCCTTTGATTCACAGTGTTCCTCACTCACTGCCTCGCGGTGTTCCTCACTCACTGCCTTGCTTCTTCCCAGGACTCAGAGCAGTGTCTGGCATAGGCAGACACTCAGTAAGTATCTATGGATGAAGTGAATCAGATGAATGCTTTAACCGTGTTAGACGTGTAGGATAGTTCAAAAATGTTTTTGCCATTTAAAATGAATAGATGTGAGGATAGAGATCAGCATTCAGCAAGCTATAGCCCGAGGCTAGTCCAGCTAACTGCCTGTTTTTGTAAATAAAGGTTTATTGGAACACAGCCACGCTCATTCATTTATGTATCATCTTTGGCTGCTTTTATACTACAGTAGCAGAGTGGAGCCATTGCAACAGAGGCCACACAGCCCACAAAATCAAAGATATTTAAGATCTGGCTGACCTTGGTATAGAGAGATGTGGTTCTGACATCTGTCACCCTATTGATTGTCGGGTTTGACAGGTGAGTGTGGCCGACAAGGTGAGTGTCTTACCCCATTCTTGTTCGTTGCAGAAAACAGGTGCTCAGAGAATGTGTTTTCCAGGTGTGAACTGTTCCTTCAGTCAGGGGTGTATAAGTTGTTTCTCTTGTTATCATCTCTAAACAAACTACTAAGTTTGTTATTTACTTTATTATACATTCCACTGTAAGAAACATCTTTTTGCATATAGCTTTTTCCACATTTGGGATTTATTTCCTTAAGCCTGGCTCTCAGAATGAAAATTTCTGGGTCAAAGCAAGCCTACATTGTGAAGGTAAGGAGTAGGTTTCTGCTGACAGAACTGAGGCAAGTGAGGCCAGACAACCTCTCTCTGGGATCTTAGGGCATGGTGAGTAGTTGGAACATATAACTTTTTAGTTACTTTCCAGTCATAAGGCTCTATGATTCCTTAAATGTAGCCAAATGACAAGTGTCAGGATTCCGGACTTCTCTAGTCCAGCCCAATTCATTACCGCAAATGGGCTGTTTGGCTCCCTGTCTCTTCTTCTTGGCTGATGTTGGCTGATCTGTCCACCTTGGATTTGATGTTTGTAGCACATCTCTTCACTGCATAGTGTCTGACTTCATCTCCAGAGGTCATCAGGATGTGTTCTGCACAAGCCAGCTGTGTGTGCTTACTCAAAGCTGGCTTCCCGCTGCTGCTGCAGCATCCTCTGACCCCTCTTCCTCCCAGCAGTCTGCTTGAACATAGGTGTGGTCTGGAACCCAAGACGCTTGTGGCCTGACCTTTACAGTATTATGACGGTCAATTTCTCCAGGAGCCCCCTGAGCCTCCAGTGCCATTGGCCTGAGCTGCAGGAGACCTGGGCTCACGTCCTTCCTCTGTTACTCGCTTGGCTGGGTGATTTCAGGCACATTCCTTAAGCAAAAGCCTCTCTGGTCCATGACTTTTGAATTGGTATCCTAAAGTGGCAGTCCAAACACACCTCCAAAGTAGGGTTCCTCAAACTCACAGGTGTAAGAGAGAACCTAGACTCTTGTTAGGATGCAGATACTGTTTCAGCAGGTCCAGGTGGGGATAAGACCCTGCGTTTCTAACCAGCTCCCAGGGGATGAAGCAGGGGATAGTATGTGGACCACATTTTGAGAAGCCAGGTCCCAGAGGGCCTCTGAACTTAGAAGTCCCTTGCTTCTCTCATATGAACCTTATCCTCAATTAGCCTGCACCATCTGTGACCTATCTCAGGGACATGATCACTCTTGACTCTTACTTGCCTTTGAGTGCTTTTATCCACAGGTGTTCCTTTACAGCCGCCTGGTGTGGGTGCCTGGCATCTCTGTGCCTGGCATTCCTGGCAGGGCCCAGACCAGAGCAGGTGTTCAGGGTAACCTGGAGTAAGCTGATGGAGTCAGCTGCTACTGTCTTTGCGATAGAGGCCTGTAGGGGCACCCGCCTGCCTGCAACCTCAGCGACAGTGGCCACCCTGGGATCTACATAGAGGATGTG